TGTTTTGTTAATTTTCTTTCTACAAAGAACATCGTATGTCTTTTCTTTACTTGAAATAATTAATTAATTAAGAAGAGAAAAATATATATTTTTTAATATATCTTTCTTAAATTTTATCATTTCTAATTTTCAGTTTAAATGAGTGATTTAATGTTTTAGGGATGTGTGGTTTTAGGATTCTTAGGTTAGGATTATTTAGGGCTTTTGTTTTAGGATAGAGATATTCATAGCTTTTTGCTGTGTTAGAAAGTAACGATAATGTTTGAGATTTAGTTTTAAAGATGAATTTATATTGTTTAATTATAATAGAATTTTTATATACGAAAATACAAAATGTTAAGGAAGATTTGAAATAAAAAAAGTTATTATTGGAGAAGAAAAATTACAAATGATAAGAATATGATTTAGGGTAGTGAGATATCAAAAGAGGAGTTTTTTCTATCTTTAAATGAGTTTTTATACTACCAATATTATTTAGGTTGACTGATGTTCTCTCTAATATTTATATCGATTTCAAACGACTTGAAGAATTTTTGAGTAATGAAACATCTGATAGAACTATAGAATAAGTTTAACCCTAATTTTATTCCTTTATATATAGAGAGAGAGTTATGATACACTTACTCCTAGTGTAAAACTTTGGATGAGGAAAAATCAAAGACTCAGATTAACTAATTATTTTTTTCTAGTGAATATCTTATCATTTCTTAATATTAATCTCAGTTTTCGATTTATTTTCATTCAACGATCCTATAAAGGTATAAAGCTTTTTATTTTTACACTGTGTAATTTGATCTTAGCCCATTGTGTAAAACTCTTTTAGTTTTACACATTTTTAGGATCACTGGATTGAGATTAACTCTTTATTTTTTCAGTTAATATATTCTCATTTTCTTCTATTGATCTCATCCTTTAATTTCTCTCATTCAATTGTCCTAAAAAGGTGTACAATTAAAAGGGATTTACACAATGTAATTGGATCCTGCCTGTATGTATGTATATATGTATGTATGTATGTATGTATGTATGTATGTATGTATGTATGTATGTATGTATGTATGTATGTATGTATGTATGTATGTATGTATGTATGTATGTATGTATGTATGTATGTATGTATGTATGTATGTATGTATTTTCGAAGATTGATATTTAATTTAGAGAATAATATGCATATTTAATAATATATTATATCAATTTAATATATAGTATAAAAATATATTTGAAATAAGACTAATAATACAAATACATATATATATTAGAGTGCAGGGATCAGAATAACCAAATGAAAAATAAAATGGCCAAATAAAAAAGTAACATTAACTAAAGACTAAATTAGACCAGTAAAAAATAGTAGGGCCAAACATATAATAAAACCATAAAACCAATCGAGCATTAAATAAAAAAAACTATGATCAAAATGAATACAAGGCTAAACTTAAGACCTATAATGTAAACTAAGTATTTATTCTCTAAAATAGGATTTAGGGGTCATAATGAACATTTTCTAAACTAGAAGCCAAAATCAAAGCATTCACATAAATACAATAACAATAAAATAAGGACGAAATATAATAGGAGAAAATAACATGCTGGAAATCGAAATAAAGTATTTCATTATATGTGGTGAAATTGCAAGTTTGCAGAAGTTACAATGGGCTAATTATTGAATAACACAAGGGTGTTAAGCAGCAGCTTTTCAACATGCGTATAAAAGTATCTTTTTTGGGTTTATGAAATCCTAACAACTTCTTTTTTTTTTTTGCCATTCCAAAAACAAGAGAGATGCTTTCTCTAAAATTCATAATGTTAGGTAGCGTTTGGTTCGTTAGAATGTTTTTGAGTGAATTGAAATTTGTGAAGGAATTAGAATCTGTAAGAATTGTAATTTGAATCTGAAACTTGTTTGGTTAGAAGGAAATTGAATTGGAATACAATTCCATATTCTGTTTGGTTCACAGATATGTGATGAATTTGATTTCAGTAATGTAAAATGACAGAATTGCCCTTCTTATTTTTTTGCTTAATTTTAGTTTGTTTTATAACTTACATGTAGCAATATATTATAAAAATTTTAAAAATATTAATTTTTTATTTTATTGATTAATTATTCATTTCAATAAATTATAAAAAATCATACAAATAAACATCATAACTTAAAATCATCCCAATTAGGGATGGCCATGGGTCGGGTTTTTGGTCCACCCGACCCGACCCGAGAACATGGGAACCTCCACCCGAGACCCGACCTGACCAAAATAAAGTTTCATCCGACCCGAAATAATAAAAAAATATTTTTATTCAATAAAAACAGTGACTTAATTAAAAACTTATATATAGAGGGGTATTATTGTAATTATTCATAAATATATAAGGTAAAATTATATATTTTTCGGGTCGGGTCGGTAATTTTTACCCTAAACCCGAACCCGACCAGAATATCAAACTTAAAAATACCGATCCGAACCCGAAATTTTAAAAAAAATCCGACCCGATCCCGATTTTTTTTAAAATCCGACCCGAATACCAAAAGATTGATGATGGTAGTATGGTCAAATTTCACATTCCCTCCTCCAAAGGATTTCAATTTCATCATGTTATGGATGAAATTTACTTTCCCTCCCTTGATGGAATTGGATTCCAATTCTCCCTTTGAAAACTTGAACCAAACATGGGAAAATAGTGGAATTGAATTACAATTCTTCATAATTCCAAGGGATTCTAGTGAACCAAACGCCACCTTAAGGTTTCACGAAAGAAAGTAGTGATGAGTAAGAGTCGGATTAGAACGAATTTTTGGTTATTCTATTTTATTTCAATTCATTTTTTATGATATTTCATCCGTTTTGAATCTGTTTCAAAATTTAAAATGAAAATTCGATATCAACTCGATTTAATTGAAATATGGTACAAACACTATATAAAGAAGATTGTACCAACAAAAAGTTAAAAGATAAAATTTACTCGATCTAAAAAATATTTTAAAATATATCATTTTATTTTAATATTATATTTCTGAGTTAATTTATTCATTAATTAATTTAATCAAAGTATTTCTATTAAAAAAGACTTTTTATGGTGAAATTTTACGAAGAAACATTGAAAAATAAAATAAAAGTAAAGTCCGTCCCGTCCCTTCCCTTCTCGTTCCGTGTCGTTTCGTCCCGTCACGTCACGTCACGTCACGTCACGTCACGTCACGTTACGTCACATCCTCCTTAAATTTGTTTCTATATATAGGAATGTCCCGTACAGTTCATCTTTCCAGTAAGAGCTTAGGTTAGCATCATTTTCAATCCCTTTTCTCACACCCTCTTAAAGCTTTCACAAAACCAACGAAGAAACATACATCATTTATATCATCAACTTAATTGTTTGAGAACGGTAAGAAGTTCATCTTGCAGTGCAGACGGTTTGAGGAAAGGAGCCTGGACTCCTGAAGACCACAGGCTCATCTCTTACATTAAAAAACACGGCGAAGGTTCCCTCCCACACAAAGCTGCTGCTACTTCATCACCTTTTATGTATATTCGATTACAATGTAATATATGTTTAGCATTATTATTAACTATTAACGACACGCAACACTCTGAAGAAATAACTCGAGACTTTTAAAGAGAATTACATTTGTTTTTACAGTTTGGGAAAACGGGTTATTTCCCACACGAACGTAGTTTTAAAATTGACCTAAAATGTCAAGATTAAAACCACCAAAGGTTGCACAGCGGATAAATCTGTCAAACTATTGAATATTGAAACACAATGAAAAAGAACCGAATAAAAAACAATAAAGGAGAGAACACACTAAATTTACGAGGTTCGACGAGAATATCGTCTACTCCTCGGGCACCACACCGGAAGATAACTTCACTATATCTCCAATATTACAACAAATGGAATTCTTTGGAATTCCCAAAGTGGGAGAATGAAGAATACAAGAGGAAGAGAGAACTTGTTTTTGGGATGATTTCTAATAGAAATACTTAGGCCTATTTATAGTTGAGTTTCAAGAACAATATGTTCAAAGTTTGGCCACCTACCAAAGAATTTTCCAATGTGTACAAGTTAGCCACCAAATATGAAATTCACATGTTCAAAGTTTGGCCACCAACCAAGATTAAATTTCCAACTTGTCAACTTAATTTCTAGACAAATCTAACAAATCTCCACCTTGGCTTGAAATTACCAAGCCTACTCAACTTCTTCAACTCCCCAAATTTGTAGTGCCTCTAATTGCGCTCACAAGCGCCACACACCCGAAGGTGTTCATACTTTCAGGATGTTAATCAAGTTCAAACAATGATTGAACTTGATTACTGTTACCACATTGGTCATCATATCTGCAAGATTTTCTGATGTCGCAATTTTCTGAAGTAGAATCTTTCATTCTTCAAAGATCTCCCGCACAAAGTGATACCTCACGTCGATATGCTTAGTCCTTGAATGGTAGACTTGATTTTTCACTAAGTGAATAGCACTCTGACTGTCACAATAGAGACTAATGTGACTTTGAACAACTCCCAAGTCTTCCATCAACCCGTTAAGCAAAATTGCTTCCTTTACAGCCTCTGAAACTGCCATGTATTCTTCCTCTTTAGTAGACAAGGCCACCGTAGATTGCAATATAGACTTCCAACTTACTGGGGCTTTAGCAAGAGTAAACAAATACCCAGTAGTTGATCGACGCTTATCCAAATCACCAGCATAATCAGAATCAATATATCCAACCATACACTGACCAAGTGCTTCATCCTGTTCAAAAACTAAACCAACATCCACGGTTTGTTGGAGATACCGTAGAATCCATTTCACAGCTTGCCAATGTCCTTCTCCAGGATCATGCATGTACCTGCTCACAACTCCAACTGCTTGTGAAATGTCAGGACGCGTACACACCATTGCATACATCAAGCTCCCAACTGCATTAGCATATGGAACTTTTGCCATATACACTCGTTCTTCGTTAGTTTTAGGAGAGATAAGTTTCAAATGAGAAGCCAATGGGAACATGGGGATTTACTGTTTGGTATTTTCATTCATGCCAAAACATTGTAATACCTTTCTCAGATAATGCTTCTGTGTTAAACAAAGCTTCCCTCTCTTTCTATCTCTGCTTATCTCCATACCAAGAATCTTCTTGGCCTCACCTAGATCTTTCATCTCAAACTCTTGATTCAACTGAGCCTTTAATTTGTCTATCTCCTTTTGACTCTTCGAAGCGATCAACATATCGTCAACGTACAAGAGAAGATAAATGAAAGATCCATATTTGAGCTTTTGCAAATACACACAATGATTATATTTGCTTCTAGTATACTTTTGCCTCCTCATAAAGCTATCAAATCTCTTGTAACACTGCCTTGGAGATTGCTTCAATCCATATAACGATTTGTTCAGCTTACAAACCCATTTCTCACAACCACCATCTTTGTATCCTTCTGGTTGTGTCATATAGATCTCCTCTTCTAAATCACCGTGCAAGAAAGCCGTCTTTACATCAAGTTGAGCTAGCTCCAAATTCAACTGTGCTACCAAGGCCAACAATATTCTAATGGAGGAATGCTTCATAACAGGGGAAAATACTTCATTGTGGTCGATTCCCTCCTTTTGAGCGTAGCCTTTAGCTATCAACCGTGCCTTGTAGCGAACATCTTTCTTGTTATGAGATCCATCTTTCTTTACAAATACCCACTTGCATCCAATGGCTCTTTTACCTTTCGGTAATTGTGCCAGTTTCCAAGTGTCATTTTTTTGGAGAGATTGCATTTCTTCATCCATGGCACTTTTCCACTTATCACTTTCCAAGCTTTGTATTGCTTCTTGGTAAGTGATAGGGATATCATCATCAACAACTAGAAGAGCATAGGCCACCATATCAACAAATCGAGCAGGTCTACGATTTTCTCTCCTTGGCCTTGTAACTGCAAGTGTTTCTGGTGTCTCCAATGGTTCTTGGGTTTGAACCTCTTCATCTTCTGATTCTTCTATTGGAGTTAAAGAATCAACTGCATCAACTTCTGGGATCATCATCTGCTGAAACTCCACCTGTTTTGGAGTATGCTCCACCTGCTGCGGAGTACTACTTGTCTGGACAACTTCACTTGTTACCTTCTTTACTAGGGAAGATTCATCAAAGGTAACATCTCTTCTACAAATTATCTTCTTGGTGTCTAAACACCAAAGGCGAAATCCCTTCACTCCATGGGTGATTCCCATAAAGAGAGCCTTCTTTGCTCTCGGATCAAGCTTGGATTCCTTCACATGATAATAAGCAGCGGATCCAAATACATGTAAGGAATCATAATCAGTAGCAGGTTTTCCAGACCATACCTCCAATGGTTTTTTCCTCCTATCGATGACGGCAGACGATTAATGAGATGGCCAGCATATGTCACAGCTTCAGCCCAAAATGCCTTGCCTAACCCAACATTAGACAATATACATCGAACTTTCTCCAATAGTGTTCGATTCATACGCTCTGCCACCCCATTCTGTTGTGGTGTATGTCTAACAGTGAAGTGTCGAACAATACCATACTCATGGCAAACGTCAAAGAATGGGTCACTTTTATATTCCCCTCCATTGTTCGTCCTAAGACGTTTGATCTTTCTACCAGTCTGGTTCTCGATCATATTTTTCCATTTCAGGAAAATTTGAAGCACTTCATCTTTAGACTTAATCGGATACACCCAAACTCTTCTGGAAAAGTCATCTACAAAAGTTACAAAATAATGGTTTCCTCCCAAAGACGATGTCTTTGAAGGACCCCATACATCTGAGTGAATATAATCTACAATACCTTTTGTTATGTTATAGTGGTGCCAAACTTCACTCTCTTCTGCTTTCCCAGAACACAATGCTCGCAAAAGTTCAATTTGCAAGCCTTTGCACCTTTCAACAATCATTTCTTTTCAAGAATTTGCAAGGATTTCTCTCCAGCATGTCCCAACCGCATATGCCACAACTGGGTTACGTCCAAATCATCACCTCCGGAAGCTGCTGCAACTGCTCCAATAATTGTACTACTACCTTGGTAGTATACAAATTATTTCTTGATGCCTTTCATCATCACAAGTGCGCCATATGTGACTTTTAAAACTCCATCTCTCATAGTGACTACTGAGCCTTTGGATCTAAGGCTCCCAATGAGATGAGATTTTTCTTCAAACTGGGCACGTATCACATCCGTCAGAACTGGTGATCAATCTTGATTCTTCAATCGAATTGAACCTATCCCAACAGTTTTACAGGCATTGTCATTGCCCATATAAACAACTCATGCATTTAGTTCCACTAAATCGAAGAACCACTCCCGATTAGGGGACATATGATAGGTGCAACCCGAATCTAATATCCACTCATCGGAATGGAATGTTGTTGATGAAGCAACCAATGATATGTCAGAGTCATGTGCATCATGCTCTGCAACACATGCATATGGAGCAACATTTCCTTTCTTCTTCAGCTTCGGACAATATTTCTTCCAATGGCCTTTCTCATGACAAAAGGCACATTCATCTTTTCCCAGTCTGGACTTCGACTTTGATCTCCCTCTCCACTTTGGCTTTTGACTTTTCGAGCGACCTCTTTCCACCATGGCCTCTGCTGCTTTGTACTTGCTCTCCTTCTTGGTTTTGTTCCTGAGTTCATAACTATACAAAGCAGCAGTTACATCTTTAAGGGTAACATTATCCTTACCATGAAGTAACATTGTCTCAAGGTGCTCAAATTCATCTGGAAGAGATGACAACAACATCAAAGCCAAATCTTCATCTTTGAAGGTTTCATACATGCCCAATAAGTCTTCCACTAGCTCATTGAACGCAGTGATGTGTTCATTCATACTGGTGCCTGGTTGATAATCAAATCTGAACAATATTTTCTTCATGTGGAGACGATTCTGAGAGTTTTTCTTCAGGAATTTTTCCTCCAAAGCTTTCCACATCTTACTTGCAGAAGTCTCGTTCTTGTAGCCATACTTCTGCTCCCTGGAAAGACAAGATCGAATCGTGCTGCACGCCAAACGATTGATTGTTCCCCATTCTTTCTCCTCCATATATTCGGGCTTTTCTTCCTCAATGGCGATGTCTAGACCTTGTTGGAATAAAGCGTCTAACCCTCGCCTTGCCACCATGCCATCCATCGAACAACTCCACCGAGAAATTTGCATTTGAAATCACCCTCCTCACCGGTCCAGATGAAGAGCTTGATGTCTCAACTGATCCGTATTTTGACATTTTAATTCTAACGAACAATATTCAATATCACGAACTGTATCTTTTCAGCAACGGAACCACCAGGATAACCTCAATCGAAGCTCTGATGCCAATTGTTGGGGAAAACGGGTTATTTTCCACACGAACTTAGTTTTAAAATTGACCTAAAATGTCAAGATTAAAACCACCAAAGGTTGCACAGCGGATAAATCTGTCAAACTATTGAATATTGAAACACAATAAAAAAGAACCGAATAAAAAACAATAAAGGATAGAACACACTAAATTTACGAGGTTCGACGAGAATATCGTCTACTCCTCGGGCACCACACTGGATGATAACTTCACTATATCGTCAATATTACAACAAATGGAATTCTTTGGAATTCCCAAAGTGGGAGAATGAAGAATACAAGAGGAAGAGAGAACTTGTTTTTGGGATGATTTCTAATGGAAATACTTAGGCCTATTTATAGTTGAGTTTCAAGAACAATATGTTCAAAGTTTGGCCACCTACCAAAGAATTTTCCAATGTGTACAAGTTAGCCACCAAATATGAAATTCACATGTTCAAAGTTTGGCCACCAACCAATATGAAATTTCCAATAAGTTGGCCACCAACCAAGATGAAATTTCCAACTTGTCAACTTAATTTCTAGATAAATCTAACATTTACCACCAAGATCACTTAATAAATTCTAGGAAAATCACGCAAGTAGTAAAATAAATCTTAATTTTGCAGGTCTTCAAAGAGTGGGAAGAGCTGCAGATTTAGATGGACTAATTATCTAAAGCCTGGGATTAGGAGAGGGGAATTCACAGCTGAGGAAGATCAAGCCATTATTAAAACTTCATGCTGAATTAGGCAACGGGTCAGGTCCAAAATATTACTATTTTCTTCCCTTTCTTAGACCAACAACACTTCATTGCTTTTAGATCACTTCATTGATTTAACTACAGTTTTCTCATTTCTATTCTTTCTACATGATAATGATAATAGTTTTGAAACATCTTACTGTTAAATCAACTGATAATTAATAATTTACCTAATTTTAGTATAAAATAAAATTGTACCATTATTTTATGATTCCACTGTTTGTATGTATTTGTACTAGTCAAAGTTTCTAAAGATAAGATATATTTATATTTGCAAGTTGGTATAATCAACCTCACGTATGTTCATGTGTTTTTTTTATAAATATTTTTTATTTTCATGAAGGTGGGCAGCAATAGCCAAGCATTTTCCAAGGAGAACAGGCCAAGAAATTAAGAACCGTTGGCACGCTCATGTCAAGAAACGCTTAACTAAAACGGGTGTTGATTCGACGACCACGGACTCCACCTCGTCCAACAAAAACTCCGATGGTATCACTGTCATCACCGCAGCCGACAAAGAATGTGCTAGACCACAACAGTCTGAATCGGCATTGCTACTCAATAAGTTAGCCACTAGAATCGCCCAATGTGTACGGCCTCCTCAAACCCTTCCACTCAACGCCAATGGTATATTTTTCAACCCTTTTTCGGTACCAGAAACATCAGATAATAATATCACTGATTCGATCACAACACCGGAATCCGGAAACGCCGTTGAGGAGCTTCTGAATTTTTTTTCAACTGTTGACTACAATGGAGGACTTTGGGACGACGGCTTAATGTTTGATGATCTTAGGATCTCTGGGATTTTATGACTCTACCCTATTTACTTCAACTGATGATCCCTTGAAATGTATATTAGATTATGAAGGGGGGACTAATGTTTCCGGTTTTCTGCAGAGCTTTTACTGCGAACTATTCTAATTTCGATTCAATAAATAACAATTTCATTTATAATTTCATGTTTCTTTTTGCTTAATGATGACTACAATAAGCAACTCATTCATATGTTATGCAATCATTTTGTTTAAGGATATAGATTAATACAACCAATTGATGGTACGTAAAATTTTATGTTAAACAATTTTTAAAATTTAAGAGGAATAGATTTATAAAATTCTAAGAGAAAAAAATAATTTTAAAATGTTACAGAATTTTTTTTAAAATATTTGATAATTTAAAAATTTTAATGGGAGTGATTTTCTCCGCTCACCTCCCTTTGATCCAGTATTAGATTCAAAATAACAAACCACTTTTCTTCCTACAAAATCCAGGTTGAACACTACCCATGTATGTACATTGTCAATATACTAAATAAAATTCTATATAAACAAATATTACCTTGTAATTATCTTGACTATTAAATATAAATTATTAATTACTATGATTACATTGTGACATTTAAGAAAAACATAATTTGTATAAATTATTTTTTTTTAATAATTTAAAAGTGACCGGAAGAGATGACAGTTGATTTCTTGTCTGAGCTTGGAATTGTAGTTCATGTTGACCATCCCAACATTGCTACTTAATTTTGATTTCCGCAAAGCTTCTTTATTTTGATTTCTTCACAAAGAGATGGTATTGAAGGCGGAATGTTCCTTGTTCTTCAATTGTCCCCCTATGGAAGCCTGGCATCGATACTTTACGGTTTGTTTTCCACAGCTTCTTAATTTTGATTTCTTCACAAGTTCATATACAAAATTTTAGTTGTTCAACACGTTGTCGTTCATATACAGGCCCTAGGACGCAAATGAATTGGAGTCTCAGATTCAAGATCACCGTAGGGACTGTTGAAGGCCTTGCCTATCTTCATGAAGGTTGCCAACGAAGAATTATCCATAAAGATATCAAGGCGGCGAACGTATTGCTTTCGGAGCATTATAATGCTCAGGTAAAACTCGAACTTAGCTCACAGTTTTGTCAAATTGCAGATAAAAGGTCTTGCTTAAGATGTTTTTCTTATGGTTGGATTTCAGATTTCAGATTTCGGCCTTTCAAAGTGGTTACCTGATCAATGGACCCATCATACCGTCTCTAAAGTCGAAGGCACATTCTTGTTCATAGTTTAACTTCACTTGGTTTCTGTACATCTAAAAGTTCTTTTTATTGTATGTGAATATTAATCGGAATTCAATGCATTGCAGTTACCTTCCTCCCGAGTGTTTCATGCATGGCATAGTCGACGTAAAAACAGATGTCTATGCTTTCGGTGTATTGCTATTGGAGCTTATCACAGGGAGGCAAGCCGTCGATAGTTCACACAAGAGTCTTGTTATCTGGGTGGGTTTGGTATACCGAAAAGTGAATTTATACTCTTATTAGATACCCAATTCTTGAGTAATCCAATTGTTCAACTTGCGGACAAAACCATTGATACCAGAAAATAAAATCAACGAGCTGATCGATCCATTGCACGGGGATGACTATGACCCGGACCAATTAAAACATTGCATCACAACAGCTTCGATGTGTATAAATCAATCGGCGATAGATCGACCCCAAATGAGCCAGGCATGTCCTTTTGTTGAAAGTCAAAAGCAAATAGCATGGGGCGGCTAATTTTCTAGATGGAAGCCGACTGCTTTGATTTAATTCAAAGTTGGTTGCAAAGTTGTTTGCAAAATAAAATGGTAAAAATGCAACTTTTAGTCATTGCACTGTAGGGTATTTATAAGATTAGTCCTTAAGCTTCAACTATAATACCTTAGCTCATTTAGCTTCAAAACCATCCCAAGCATTCTAACTTTCTTCCAATACTAGAGAATTTAGAGAGTTTCTTGAGAGTTGTTTTCTCCTTTTTATCAAGAGAGAATTATCATTGTTTTCTCCTTGTAGATCGAGAGAGTTGTAATTCCTATTTTCTCATAGTGAAATTCTTCTACCGTTGCCCGTGGGTTTTTACCCTAAATTTTTAGGGTTTTCCACGTAAATTTTGTGTCTCTTTTATCTTCATTTTTATTTTCTCAAATTATCATTGCGATTTTGCTCTATCCGGTAGCCGTATTCCCAATAATTGGTATCCGAGCTAGATTAGAGTGTGTAATATCTGCTTATTGTCTTTGTGATTGCCACCAAAGGTATCATCCAACATAAGAAAAAAAGTTATTACCCATTCTTGAAGGTTTCCAGAGAACTATTCACGATAGTGAAACAGTGGAGCTATCCGTAAAAGAAGCTATGGCAACGAAATTTGATATTGAAAAATTCAATGGGAGAAATTTCTCATTGTGAAAATTGAAGATGAAGGTCATCCTAAGGAAAGACGGGTGTCTAGGCTATCAATGAAAGGCCGGTGGATTTCACAGATGACATCAAATGGAACATATGGATGGGAATGCATGGCAACTTTCATCTAGCATTAGCAGATGAAGTATTGTCAAGCATCGAGGAGAAGAAGACAGCTAAGGATATGCGATCATCTCACCAAATTGTACGAGGCCACATCGATACACAATAAATTTCCTTAAGAGGAATTTGTACACTCTCCGTATGCCAGAATCTACTTCAGTGACGGAGCACTTAAATACACTGAACACCTATTTTCTCAGCTTACATCCTAAGCTGTAAAATAGGAGAACAAGAACGTTTGAACTTTCAAAAACTTCAAAGCGCGGTGGAGCTTGATTCTGGAAATAAGATCAGTGTTTCAGAACAGATAATGGAGAATACACAAGCGAAGAATTTGATGATTTTTGCAGGAAAGAAGGCATCAAAAGACAGTTCACAGTAGCAAACACTCCAACAAAATGGAGTGGCAGAGCGGATGACAGAACCTTGTTAGAAAGAACAGAGCAATGTTGAGAGATGCAGACCTAGAAAATCATTTTGGGCGAAGCAGTCAATACCGGCCTGTTATTTGGTGAATCGAGCTCCATCAACTGCAATAGAGCCGAAGACACAATGGAGATGGACTGGAAAACCAGCTGATTATTCAAACCTCCATGTATTTGGAAGTATAGTGTACGTGATGTACAACTCCCAAGAAATTTCAAAGTTGGATCCAAATCCAGGAAATGCAAATTCTTGGGGTATGGATGGAGTAAAGGGTATCGCTTGTGGGATCCCACTGCCAAAGTGATCATCAGTAGAGATGTTATCTTTGTAGAAGATAAACTACAAAGAAAAGAAGATGATGATAGCACTGAAAAATCATAGACTACTCAGATACATGCAGAAAAAGAGTTTGAACAAGGAGATTCTTCTGAAGCAGAACCAGCACATGATGAACAAGAACCAGAGAGTTCTAAAGCACCAATAACTCGTAATCAGATCGTGTGAAGACGTCCCAATTGGCACTCAGATTATGTTTATAGAAGGTAATTGCATACTGCCTTTTAACAGAGGACGGTGAGCCATCAACATACCAGGAGGCAATAAACAAACTCAGATGCTTCACTGTGGATGATGGCGATGCAAGAAGAAATTGAAGCCCTTCATAAAATAATACATGGGACCTTGTGCCACTACCACAAGGAAGGAAGCCAATTGGTAACAAATGAGTCTTCAAAATCAAGCGAAATGATGACGATCAAGTTGAGAGGTATCGTGCAAGACTGGTGGTCAAAGGATATGCTCAAAAAGAATGTATTGATTTCAATGAAATATTTTCTCCTGTGTTTCGACTAACAACAGTTAGAGTAGTTTTGGCAATGTGTGCTACATTGAACTTACATCTAGAGCAACTAGATGTTAAAACAGCTTTTCTTCATGGAAATCTTGAAGAAGAGATTTATATGCTCCAGCCTAAAGGTTTTGAAGAAAAAGAAAAGAAGAACTTGGATTGCAGGTTGAACAAATCTCTGTACGGTCTAAAACAAGCGCCGAGGTGTTGGTATAAGAGATTTGATTCCTTCATTATGTGCCTTGGATATAACAGACTTAATGCAGACCCTTGTGCTTATTTCAAGAGGTCTGGTGATAACGATTTTGTTATATTACTGTTGTATGTGGATGACATGTTGGTTGCAGGACCCAAAAAAGATCATATTGAAGAATTGAAGGCACATCTGGCTAGGGAATTTGAAATGAAGGACTTGGGATCAGCAAACAAGATTCTAGGGATGCAAATTCACCGAGACAGAAGTAATAGGAAGATTTGGCTTTCACAAAAGAATTACTTAAAGAAGATCTTGTCACGATTCAGCATGCAAGATTGTAAGCAAATTTCTACCCCTCTTCATATTAACTTCAAATTATCCTCCAGTATGAGTCCTAGCAGTGAAGAAGAGAGGATGTAGATGTCTCGAGTACCGTATGCATCGGCAGTGGGAAGTTTGATGTTCGCTATGATATGCACAAGACCAGACATTGCACAAGTAGTGAGAGTGGTTAGTCGGTACATGGCGAATCCAGGCAAAGAGCATTGGAATATAGTAGTAAAGAGGATCTTGAGATACATCAAAGGAACCTCAAATGTTGCATTATATTACGGAGGATCAAACTTACTAATCAATGGGTATGTAGATTCTGACTATACAGGGGATTTGGATAAAAGCAAATCTACTACATGATATGTGTTCAAAATTGCTGGTGGAACTGTAAGCTGGGTTTCAAAATTGCAGTTAGTTGTGGTTACATCCACAACAGAGGCAGAATATGTAGCAACTACACAAGCCAGTAAAGAAGCAATTTGGTTGAAGATGCTATTGGAGGAGCTTGGGCACAATCAAGAGTATGTCTCTCTGTTTTGTGACAGTCAAAGCGCATTGCATTTAGCAAAGAATCCAACATTTCATTCAAGGACAAAGCACATACGAGTTCAGTACCATTTCATTCGTGAAAAGGTGGAAGAAGGGACAGTAGATATGCAGAAGATTCATACCAAAGACAACATAGCAGATTTCATGACAAAGGCGATCAATGCTGATAAATTTACCTGGTGTCGATTCTCCTGTGGCCTGTCAGAGATGTAAACAACATGACGGTACAAGGTAGAAAGAATGGTGTGAATATATGATTGCTCCAATCAAATCTTCAAGTGGGAGATTGTTGAAAGTCAAAAGCAAATAGCATGGGGCAGCTAATTTTCTAGATGGCAGCCGGCTGCTTTGATTTAATTCAAAGTTGGTTGCAAAGTTGTTTGAAAAATAAAATGGTAAAAATGCAACTTTTAGTCATTGCACTTTAGGGTATTTATAAGATTAGTCCTTAAGCTTCAACTATAAATACCCTAGCTCATTTAGCTTCAAAACCATCCCAAAGCATTCTAGTTTTCTTCCAATACTAGAGAGAATTTAGAGAGTTTCTTGAGAGTTGTTTTCTCCTTTTTATCAAGAGAGAATTATCATTGTTTTCTCCTTGGTAGATCGAGAGAGGTTGTAATTCCTATTTTCTCATAGTGAAATTCTTCTATCGTTGCCCGTGGTTTTTACCCTAAATTTTTAGGGGTTTTCCACGTAAATTTTGTGTCTCTTTTATCTTCATTTTTATTTTCTCAAATTATCAGTTGCGATTTTGCTCTATCTAATAGCCGTCTTTCGCAATACTTTTTTCATCACAAGTTATTTGCAATCCAAGTAAACTTCAGATCTTTTATGAGAGTAATTTAGAAACCGGAAGATCGATGTTCTAATCTCTAATGATTCGACCGTTGCATTTCACTGCAGGCTTTAGCCATTCTTAAAGGCGATCTTAGCTGCCTTGAGATACTGAAAGAACGCTCCGCTCATCGGAGGACGTACTCGGAAGAGATCTTTGATGCAGAAGAGTATAACTCCACCAAGTGTTTGAATGACTGAAATAGTGAGATTGACCAAGTTTCATAGTGTTTTTTTATCTTGAATTCTGATTCTTCTGCAATAATGCTTTTTTAAATTTCTTGTAGTTCAAGTTCTATTTTCCATGAAATTAACAAAGTTTGAGGGATTAGAACAGTCTGAGAAAAGGTTGCTCGTGAAAATGTAATATAAATATCAACATGTTTATGATTTTGACACAAACAATTTATGTTTTTCTAAACAAATAGATAAAATGATAATAAGTACTTAAGTATAATCGATTATTTATTATATCAATAACAATTAAATCGAATTAAACTTAATCATCCACCGTATATTTATTATTTAACAGATAAAACTCTAGATCATACCAAGTTTGCGCAACGACACCGTCTAGTTCCTCAGATGTCGAATAATCAGGTGGCTCCCTGCTTATTGCACCTTACTAGTTAGTAGTTACTACACAGTTTAAGCAAGCAACTCGGTCAGACTCAGATCAGCAACTTCTCTCATTTTCCCCAAGAAATTTTGTGACTTCTTTCCCGGAAAATATTTTCCTTTCTTTATCTTTCGATCCAAGGTTCTACAATTGATGGCTGCTGCGAGGAGTTATCCTCTGCAATTACTGATACTGTTCTCAATCGCTTCATCTTGTAGCAATCATGTGATTCCTTCTTAACCCCTCCAAGCTCAATTATCAATCCTTCTAAGTCAAACAAGTTTCCTGGAAACATAGGTCGCTTTACCTCTCTCAATCTCTTTCAACAGCACCAAGTATTTACTAAAAGTTTGAATTTCCTTTTAATTTCTCTTCTTTTCCAGGGCTTTTGTCTATGAAGGCTTCTTGACGGACCTGGAATGCGATCATTTGATTTCTCTAGTAAATTCTATTCCGACTTTTCATCATTATTTCGAAATTTGAATTCATTTAATATCAGTTCTTTTTCTTTTCTTTTTTAATTATAGGCGAAATCGGAGCTGAAGAGATGCAGTTGCTGATAATGTTAGTGGAAAAAGTAAGCTTAGCGAAGTCCGGACAAGCTCAGGATGTTTATTCCTAAGAAAAGGTTCACTCTTTATCCCACGCTCTTGTATATTATAGTTGTTTCTTTTGTCGATCTTATTTTCCCCAATTATGGAAGTCTAAGTTGTTGGCCTTTAAAGCTTTAGGCTGTACTTAACACTAAAGCGTACTCCATCAGATGCAGTGGAACCTTTTTGGTAGGATTTGATGAAAATGGTATTCATGCTCCTTGTAAGTTGTAACTACACGTTATAATGTCATGGATAGTTTCATGCTTTAGGGTTGTTATATAGAGGCTTGGCTTTTATGGTATATTATCCTATGTTACCCGAGCTCTTCATTTTCTCTTAAATATATGTATTACACTTGTGTACGGCATGGGGATGATTATGATTGTCATATATGGAAAACATGGAGAAAAGTTGGCATATACATTCCTCATTCATTTTAGAGTCTAGGAAACTAGGGTATATCTTGATGAGAAACATATATGATGGTCCAAAGAGTTTGATCTGACAATGTATAGCCATCAGTCCCCTCCCCCTCCCCCGGATGCACTTGTAACATTGCAACAGTTTTACATTGGATATTTCAATCAAATGATGGTTGTTCCTTTTTTTTTCTTTTGTAGGATACTATTGTTTCTGGTATAGAGGACAAGATTTCGACATGGACATTCTTCCAAAGGTGCTTTACCATATGCACAAGAAGACTTTGGCCAAGCTTCTCTCTCTTGATTGTAACGTTTTACTATTTTAATTGAGGAGTCTACCAGACCATGTTATTTTGTTTGTCTTGACATTAGTTGTCAAGATTTTGCAAACCACTATGATAGGTTATGGGATTTGAAATAATGTTAAAAGTAGTCAAGGTTTAAGGTTGCAATTAAATAAGTAATTTGGTTAGATTCTGTTACTGTGACTGCACCCATCAATTTGAATGCGTGTAACCTTCCTTATCTAAAGATAAGTTACTTTGGTTACTCATGAAATTGACTAGTAATTATGAAGTGGGATGGAGACATGATGTTAAATGTCGCACATAAGATTAAAGGAGTTACTTTTGCACATTTCTACTTGTTTGGGAACTATATACATGGGTTGCTAATTTATGCCATTGGAATTTAATTTTCATGTTTCATAACCTGTCAGTATATTAATATCGGAATCAATGTGATCATCCTAGAGCTTCATGCTACTCTTTGGCTGCTAAATCTCATGTGTATACATTAATATAAGTTAAATACATGTTTATTTGAGGGTTGGAAGAATAAAAAATAGCAATTGTAGTTAAATTAAGGAAGCGCATAATAACATGAATTCAGTTTTTCTCAGTTACAGAAAATGGGGAAGACATACAGGTGTTGAGAGAGTTTGGGCAGAAATACAATCCGCACTATGATTACTTTTCTGACAAGGTAAATATTGCTAGAGGTGGACACCACATCGCAACTGTATTGATGTATCTTACAAATGTGACCAAAGGACTTTAAGGTATTTATAAGATTAGTCCTTAAACTTCAACTATAAATATCCTAGTCCATTTAGCTTCAAAATCATCCCAAATAATTTCTTTCTCCCAATACTAGAGAGTTTTCTTGTGAGTAGTGAGTGTTTTGTAAACACCTGTAAATTTTCGCTCTTAATAAAATATCTGCAGCAGTCCGGAGACGTAGGCATAATTGGCTAAACTCCGTTATCAATTTCGGGTATTATTTTTCCGCTTTTATTTCGCATTCTTACTAATTTGGTTATAGGGAAATTACTCGTACTCGTTTATTTCCCAACAACTGGTAATCAGAGCATTTGGTTGTGAATTTTATCAATTTTTTTGTGAGGTTACTATTAATAACTATTCACATGAATAGTAAATTTTGTGAATAGTAAAATTTTGCTGGCGATACGAATTTGTCGACGGAGGTGTTCTAATACACGGTGGTTCGCAAGAATTGTCAGAAATGATCCAAATGAAACCAGATTCGAGTGGGAGCGATGGCTGCAGACGAAGGCAATGTGAAAATCTATAACAACATCTCTCAGGAAGATGCATATTGAAGATTTTCTGTACCAGAAAAATCTATAACAACATCTCTCAGGAAAGCAACCAGAGGGCATGAAGAATGAAGATTGGGCTCTTCTCGACAGACAAGCCCTCGGAGTTATCAGACTGACGTTATTCCGCAATGTTGTTTTCAACATAGCAAAGGAAAAGACCACGGCGGGTCTTATGGCGGCTCTCTCCAGTATGTATGAGAAGCCATCGGCCTCAAACAAAGTTCATTTAATGAGGCGATTATTCAATTTGCGGATGGCGGAAGGGGCATCAGTGACTCAACACCTAAATGAACTCAACACAATCACAACCCAGTTGAGTTCAGTGGAAATTGAATTCGATGATGAAGTTCGAGCTTTAATTCTCTTATCATCTCTACCAAACAGTTGGAATGCTACTGTTACAGCAGTCAGCAGCTCGTGGGAAAATAAAAAATTAAAATTCGATGATGTTCGGGATCTGGTATTGAGTGAAGAAATTCGACAGAGAGAATCGGGTGAAGCATCGAGCTCCTCAGCTTTGCACACGGAGTCGAGAGGGAGAACTTCATAGAGAAATTCAAATCGTGGCAGATCAAAATCCAGAAGGGGAAAATCAAGAACGAGAAAGAAAGATTTTACCTGTTATAATTGTAAAAAGAATAGTTACTTTAAAAGAGATTGTCGAGCACTGAAGAAAGATACCAGTGTATAGGAATCTGCCAACATGATAGAGGAGGTAGGTGATGCCATGATTCTAAGTGTCAACAGTCTGATTGAATCATGGATCTTGGATTCAGGGGCATCTTTTCACTCCACCCATGCCGAGAAATCATGGAGAACTATGCCAGTGATGATTTTGGGAATGTTCATCTAGCTGATGATAAAACCTTGAAGATCGTTGGAAAAAGAGACATTCAATTAAAGTTGCCAAACCAGACCACCTGGACGCTAAAAGGAGTGAGACATATTCCTGGCCTCAAAAGAATTTTGATTTATGTTGGACAGCTTGATGGAGAATGATATAGTACAACATTTTCAGGCTGTGAATGGAAAATTACCAAAGGAACACTCGTCATTGCTCGTGGTAAGAAGATTAGTACTCTCTATGTAACCTCAAAATTAGAGAATATCATTGCTGCAGCAGATGCTGATGGAAAATCAAACCTTTGGCACCAAAGGATTGGTCATATGAGCAAGAAAGGGATGGCGACACTTTTGTCAAAAAGGAAGTTGCCGGATCTAAAGAATATAGATGTCGGACTATGCGATGATTGCATCTTTGGCAAACAAAAGAAAGTCAACTTTGCAAAGATTGGCAAGACACCCAAGGTTGAAAAGTTAGAGTTGGTTCATACTGATGTATGGGGACCATCTCCAGTTTCATCTCTTGCAGGCTCATTATATTATGTCACCTTCATCGTTGATTCTACAAGGAAGGTGTGGGTTTATTTTATGAAGAAGAAATCAAAAGTTTTTGATACCTTCAGAAAATGGAAGGCCATGGTGGAAAATGAGACTGGTTTGAAAGTCAAGCGATTGAGGTCTAATAATGGAGGAGAATACAAAAATAGTAGATTCCTGCGCAAACAATGTGATCAAGATGGAGACAACAGTTCATATGACACCGCAGCAGAATGGTGTAGTAGAGCGCATGAACAGAACTCTGAATGAACGTGCCAGAAGCATAAGAATACATGTCGGATTGCCCAAATTTATTTGGGCTGAAGCTATCAACACTGCATCTTACCTGATCAATCGTGGGCCCTCAGTTCCTTTGGATGACAGAATATCAGAGGAAGTTTGGAGCAAGAAAGAAATAAACCTTTCACACTTAAGAGTGTTTGGTTGTATTTCTTATGTACACATAGATTCTGCTGAAAGAAGTAAACTTGATGCCAAGTCCAACAAATGTGTCTTTGTTGGTTATGGTGGTGATGAGTTCAGTTACCGATTTTGGGACTATG